GATAGAACAAGTGACCTGAAGAGTGTCATCATGGGCTTGGCCTCCCTAGTTTTGAAGGTTCTCATTATCCATCCTGTCATTTTTCTAGCAGATGCGATTGATACAATGTTATGGTCCTTGAAGGTGAGATCCTCCGACATGATCACTCCCAGGTCTTTGACGTTGGTGTTTCGCTCTATTTTGTGGCCAGAATTTGTTTTGTACTCTGATGAAGATTTAATTTCCTCATGTTTACCATATCTGAGTAATTGAAATTTCTCATCGTTGAACTTCATATTGTTTTCTGCAGCCCACTGAAAGATTTGGTTGATGTCCGCCTGGAGCCCTTGCAGTGTCTGCAATGGAAGACACTGTCATGCAGATTCGGGTGTCATCTGCAAAGGAAGACACGGTGCTGTGGCTGACATCCTTGTCTATGTCGGATATGAGGATGAGGAACAAGATGGGAGCGAGTACTGTGCCTTGTGGAACAGAGCTTTTCACCGTAGCTGCCTCGGGACTTTACTCTGTTGACGACTACTCTCTGTGTTCTGTTAGTGAGGAAATTATAGATCCATCGACCGACTTTTCCTGTTATTCCTTTAGCACGCATTTTGTGCGCTATTACGCCATGGTCACACTTATCGAAGGCTTTTGCAAAGTCTGTATATATTACATCTGCATTCTTTTTGTCTTCTAGTGCATTTAGGACCTTGTCGTAGTGATCCAATAGTTGAGACAGACAGGAGCGACCTGTTCTAAACCCATGTTGCCCTGGGTTGTGTAACTGATGGGTTTCTAGATGGGTGGTGATCTTGCTTCTTAGGACCCTTTCAAAGATTTTTATGATATGGGATGTTAGTGCTATTGGTCTGTATTTCTTTGCTGTTGCTTTACTGCCCCCTTTGTGGAGTGGGGCTATGTCTGTTGTTTTTAGTAACTGTGGGACGACCCCCGTGTCCATGCTCCCTCTCCATAGGATGGAAAAGGCTCGTGATAGGGGCTTCTTGCAGTTTCTTGATGAACACAGAGTTCCATGAGTCTGGCCCTAGGGCAGAGTGCATGGGCATGTCATTTATCGCCTGTTCGAAGTCATTTGGCGTCAGGATAACATCGGATAGGCTTGTGTTAATCAAATTTTGTGGCTCTCTCATAAAAAATTCATTTTGATCTTCGACTCTCAGTCTGGTTAGCGGCTTGCTAAAAACTGAGTCATATTGGGACTTGAGTAGCTCACTCATTTCCTTGCTGTCATCTGTGTAGGACCCATCTTGTTTAAGTAGGGGCCCAATACTGGACGTTGTTCTCGATTTTGATTTGGCATAGGAGAAGAAATACTTTGGGTTTCTTTCGATTTCATTTATGGCTTTTAGTTCTTCCCGCGATTCCTGACTCCTAAAGGATTCTTTTAGCTTAAGTTCGATGCTTGCTATTTCTCTGACCAGTGTCTCCCTACGCATTTCAGATATATTGACCTCTTTTAGCCGCTCTGTTATTCTTTTCCATCGCTGTAAAGGGGGCGCCTGTCTCTTTCTGTTTTACATTCTACTCCCTCCCTTTTTCATAGAGGAATATGCCCTTTGTGGCATACTCGAGTGCCACGAGTTAATCTGTTCTAGGGCATAAATGTTTGGGTCTGTGTTGTTAGTATATTCTCCAGCTTATATGGTTAGGCCTTGGTTACTTGGTCCACTTTATGTTTTTGTTATTGAAGTTGAATTATTGGTGAATGCTCCCTCGAGACTAATCTCATTATTGTCGGTTCTGGGGCCTTCCGCGCATACATGGGACTCGAACCTCAATTATGTTGTGATCTGAGTTTTTATTGTTTTTGATATTGTGCATTTTTATCAGATCATCATTGTTAGTGGAAGATGAGGTCTAGTGTATTCTCCAGTTTAGTAGGCTCTATATATTTGCTGGCTTAAATTGAAATGAATTTTGTGCAGAGTATTTAAAAAGCTCGCGTGAGCTGTGAGTTTCATCAGAGCTGCCTCCTGGTGTTATTACTCGCAACAATTTATTGTATATTCCTCCATTTTAAGGTGCCTTACCCTAAGTTGAAATCCCCGGAGCAAGATGTTGGGTGCAAGGAGCTGGACGGTTTTTCCAGACAGTAAAACTGGCAATTTTTAACAGCTGTTCCTGGAATGCTGGGATGTTGCATCGGAGGCTTGGAGACTACCACAATGACCTAGGATTTTGGTCTCGCCTTTACTGCTAAAACTTCCACTTACATCATTTGAGGCATTTAGAAGTTCTGTGCAAACAAGGGACTCAGCAATGTACAGGCCAACCCTCCCCCCCTTTTGCCTGTTCACTCTGTCACATCTGTATAGGTTGTAACCTGGGATCCATATTTCGTTGTCCAAGTGATCCTTTATGTGGGTCTCAGTGAAAGCCGCGAACATTGCCTTTGCCTCTGCAAGCAGTCCACGGATGAAAGGTATTTTGTTGTGTGTCCATGCTCCCTCTCCATACCTGGAGTTTACCTGGAGAGAGTTCCGGGGGTCAACGCCCTGCGGCCGGTCTGTGACCAAGCCTCCTGGTGGATCAGAGCCTGATCACCAGGCTGTCTGCTGCTGGCGCACGCAACCAACGGTACGAGCCCAGCCCCCCGCTGGTCCAGGAACCGACTTTAGGTGCTTGTCAGTGCCGCTTGAAGACTGCCAGGGGTTGTTGGTATCCCCCTTATGTATGCTGGGAGGCAGGTGGAACAGTCCGGCCCCTGGGACACTTATTAGTATGGTCTCTTAGCGTCCTAGTTGACACCCTGCTTTTCATTGGGGGGGATGTTGCATCGTCTGCCAGTCTTTTGCTTTCGTACGTGGCAGTGATTTTCGTGTGCAAGTTCGGTACTAGTCCTCTAGGATTTTTCCAGGTGTATATAATCATGTATCTCTCCCGCCTGCGTTCCAGGGAATACAGTTTTAGGGAACCTCAAGCGTCCCAGTTATTCAGGTAAAAGCTCGTGATAGGGGCTTCTTGCGTTCGTGATGATCACGGAGTTACATTGAGTTGCCTGGGGCGAGTGCATGGGCATGTCATTGTATCGCCTGTATTCGAAGTCATTTGCGTCAGGGATAAAACATCAGATAGCTTGTGTTTACCCAAATTCTGTGGCTCTCTCATAAAAATTCATTTAGATCTTCGAACTCTCAGGTCTGGTTAGCGGCTCTTTGCTAAAAAAAACTGAGTTTAGTCATATCGGGACTTGAGTAGCCTCACTAATTCCCTTGCTGTCATTGTGTTAGGCCAGCTTTGTTAAGTAGGGGCCCAATACTGGACGTTGTTCTCGGACTTTGATTGCATATGGTTTCTTTCGATTTCATTAATGGCTTTTAGTTCTTCCCGCGGATTTTCCTGGACTCCTATAAGATTCTTTAGCTTTAGTTCGATGATTGCTATTTCTCAGGACAGTGTCCCCCTTACGCATTGCAGATATATTGGCCTCTTTTAGCCGCCGCGTATCTTTTCGTCGCCTGTAAAGGGAGCGCCTGTTCTTTCTTTTTTAAATCCTACTCCTCTTTTCTTAACGGAATATGCCTTGAGCATACATCGCAGTGCCACAGAGTTAATCTGCTTTAGGCATAAGCTGGGGTGGGTGTTTTGCTTAAGTCATTCTTCCCAGCTTATATCGTTTTAGGACTTGTGTTTATTGGTCCCCACTTTATGTTTTGTTCTTGAAGTTGAAATTTGGTGAAGCTCCTGTGATGATCCAAATGTCGGTCTGGGGCTCCACGGCATACATGTATGAACCTCGATAGTTGTGATCTGAGTATATTGTTTTTGTATGGTGACATTTCGGTATCAAAATCATCATGTAGTGAAGATGAGGCCAGTGTATTCCCCAATCTAGTAGGCTCTATATTTGCTGGTTTAAGTTGAATTTTGTGACAGTGATTAAAAGCTCGATGTTTGTGTGAGAGTTCTCGTCTGAGCTGCATCCCTGGTGTTTTCACTGCAACAACAATATTTGCTGTATTCTCCATTTTAGCGTGCTTAAGTTGAAATCCCCAGGAGCAAGATGTTGGGGGGCAGAGGAGGAGAGCTGGAGGGTTTTCCAGAACGGTGGTTAATTTTCAACAGCTGTTCCTGGAATTGTTGGCGACGTTGATCCAGAGGCTTGTAGACTACCACAATGATTGATTTTGGTCTCGATCTTTACTGCTAAAAACTTCCACTACATCATTTGAGGCATTAAGCAGTTCTGTGCAAATAAGTGACTACGATATACAGGCCAACCCCCCCCCCCCCGCCCCTTTTGCCTGTTCACTCTGTCGCATCTGTATAGGTTGTAACCTGGGATCCATATTTCGTTGTCCAAGTGATCCTTTATGTGGGTCTCTGTGAAAGCCGCGAACATTGCATTTGCCTCTGCAAGCAGTCCACAAATGAAAGGTATTTTGTTGTTCGTTGCTGGCTTTAGACCCTGTATATTTGCAAAGAAGAATGTCGTCGGATTGGTGGTACTGGGGGGGGGGACTTTTTTTTCGGCAGTTAGTTTAATTTGTTTATTATGCACCCCATACCCATCCTGTGGGCGGTAGTCAAAAGATTACAGAGGTACATAATGGGTCCAGGGACTGGACCTCCAAAGTTTTGGTAGCTGAGCAAGTTACAGAGGTAATGAACTCACAATTACAAAAGTAATGAACTCACAATTTACAAAGGTAATGAACTCACAATTTACAAAGGTAATGAACTCCAGGTAGGTCTGGTCACAATCATGACAAGTTACAAAGGTATGTACAGATTACAGAGGTACGTAATGGGTCCAGGGACTGGGCCCCCAAAGTTTTGATAGCTGAACTTTGGTACAAAGGTAATGAACTCACAAGTTACAGAGGTAATGAATCATGTAAGTAAATTTACTTACTTACGTTTATACATGGCTACAATCATGAACGAATTATAGAGTAATGAGCGTACTAGAATGGATGGTAATATACCACTGCATAAAATACTTTGACATTTCATGAACATTTTTCTCTGAATTTATTAATTTTATCTCATTCCAGCACATAATGACGCAAGTTGTGGGAGTAATCCATCTGCCAAAGTTAACATTGGGTTATGTCTACATTCGCTGGTTATGTTGATGCAATCTCTCCGACATACTAATAAGGCAGCTGGAGCCGGGTGACTGTGACATCCAAGAGTCTGTCGCTTATGTTGGATGCACCACAGACATGTAGCTCCTTCATGATAAGTAAGTAAGTTTATTCAGGTATATACAAATACAGTTACATAGATTATCATACATAGCAGCATATGTGCAGAGAACCTAGGATAACCCAAAAAAGTCAGAGTGACTTATTTCCATTGGGGTCCTGATAGAATGATGATAGGTAGACTGACTGGTGTCAGTCTCCCTCATGAAATTCTTTTCTTATTATTGTTTTCAAACTGTTAACTAACAGGTCAAGAATATAATCCACTCGCTCCTTTGCCAGTTCAACAGTTCTATTATGCATTCGAAGACCAATGTGAGATGGAATCCACAGGTCTGCTCTGACTCCACTGTCTGCAATCCTACTAAGGGTGTCACAATATATATTCAACGAGTTATGAGTATTATTTATGGTTAATAAGGAACCGGTTGCAATTAAGGTGTCAACCCTTGATACATGGACGCATCTGAGTGCAAGGAGTGTTGAAGAATTCAGTTTGAAAGGCAGAAGCCCAGTTATTGATGCGTGCTTCACTTGCTATACAAGATCCATCACTGTATGATAACACTACCAGCTGCATCAGTGGATTAGTGAACAGAGTCATCAACATACATAATTTGTGAGAGTGCTGTGTGACTAACGCATCAATGCAGTTTAAGGTATCCTGGCTTCAAGGCGAAGCTTTGGTTGTCATCGAAGTTTTTTTTTTTTTTTTTTTTGGGGGGGGGGATGAGGGATAGCAGTTTGGAATGAGGTAATTTCCCATGGTTAAGGGATGTGTTGCTGTTGTCTTATTTGACACAGATCATAGTATCTGATTCATTCGGAAGTTAGTTCGTTTTTATGGTCCATCTGGGGAGTGGTGTCCAGTGCTAAAGAAAGTGTGGAAAATAAATTCCCATAATTATACTCTATATTTTTTTTTATGTAAATATACATGATTAATGCATTACTGTTGTTCTAAATTGTATTTTAAAGAGAACCAATAGGGAAGCTCTGCACCTGCGCTGATGGGCAGGGGAGAGGTCGAGACGGGGCATCAGGGAGTGGGAGTGTTTGGAATGGAGTTAAGAGGCTGGGAAAACATGGGACCAGGAAATTGGCGTTCACGGGGGCCTAAGGATTAATATAGGCCTCACTTCATAATAGGAAGTGTCATAACTGTTCCTGGTGAAGAGTGAGGGAACATGATTTACGTGACCACGTAATAAAGTGGCAAAATTAGTGAATAATGGTAGGACCGGTGGTGACTGGCGCGTCGCCATGGAGTGTGTCCCGGAGAAAAATACCCGTGATTTAATCATCACTCGTCGGTCTCAGATCTTAATGGAGTGGCCTCCAATGTGTATAATAATTATGAGACATTAAACCGTATGGTGGGCTAAGAAGTAATCAGTGATAATAACACCAAGTTAAGAGAATGTGTGAAGTGAAATGAGTTGCCGTTCTCAGAGTGAGCATCTGTTTACCTCGTGTTCCTGTCCCGAGGATAGTGAAGTTTTTATGGAGTCACGGCTTCTAAACCGGGACAAACCAACGGATACCTCGTCCTGCTGGAATAAGAGCTGTGTCGGTGTAGCAGGACATCGAAATGAGATGGTGAATGGAGGAAATAAGGAGCACCAATCACCCACAGTTAAGTAACCCTTCTAGTTATAGCAGACTGATACTGGCCAGTTAGGTATGTTGTAATTGGATAGGTTGTGGGTGATCCAGGTACATCAAGTGACCACCAGAGAATATCTGGTAAGTGGTGGGATCATATACAAGTGTTTTTCCTTGATGGATATATCCATGTGTAACCTACCCCCACCCCCTTCATTCAGTTAAACTAATATAATCTATACAGTCCACAATTAATTAGTAGCGCCGTACTTGTGGGTGTTATCCAATTTATACTGGTCTCGGATAGATATGGATAAAATTGTGAGGTCGAAGGGACCACCTGCAGTGACCAGGGGTGGTTAAGTTTTCTCACATGTCTACAGGGGTGACTACGGTAAACAATATGGTTGATGTCTCCCAATGAGATTACTCGTATGCATGTAATGTTGAGGTACATACCTGGAGTTTACCTGGAGAGAGTTCCGGGGGTCAACGCCCCCGCGGCCCGGTCTGTGACCAGGCCTCCTGGTGGATCGGTGCCTGATCAACCAGGCTGTTGCTGCTGGCTGCACGCAAACCAACGTACGAGCCACAGCCCGGCTGATCAGGAACTGACTTTAGGTGCTTGTCCAGTGCCAGCTTGAAGACTGCCAGGGGTCTGTTCGTAATCCCCCTTATGTGTGCTGGGAGGCAGTTGAACAGTCTCGGGCCCCTGACACTTATTGTATGGTCTCTTAACATGCTAGTGACACCCCTGCTTTTCACTGGGGGGATGGTGCATCGTCTGCCAAGTCTTTTGCTTTCGTAGTGAGCGATTTTCGTGGGCAAGTTCGGTACTAGTCCCTCTAGGATTTTCCAGGTGTATATAATCATGTATCTCTCCCTCCTGCGTTCCAGGGAATACAGGTTTAGGAACCTCAAGTGCTCCCAGTAATTGAGGTGTTTTATCTCTGTTATGTGCGCCGTGAAAGTTCTCTGTACATTTTCTAGGTCGGCAATTTCACCTGCCTTGAAAGGTGCTGTTAGTGTGCAGCAATATTCCAGCCTAGATAGAACAAGTGACCTGAAGAGTGTCATCATGGGCTTGGCCTCCCTAGTTTTGAAGGTTCTCATTATCCATCCTGTTATTTTTCTAGCAGATGCGATTGATACAATGTTATGGTCCATGAAGGTGAGATCCTCTGACATAATCACTCCCAGGTCTTTGACGTTGGTGTTTCGCTCTATTTTGTGGCCAGAATTTGTTTTGTACTCTGATGAAGATTTAATTTCCTCATGTTTACCATATCTGAGTAATTGAAATTTCTCATCGTTGAACATCATATTGTTTTCTGCAGCCCACTGAAAGATTTGGTTGATGTCCGCCTGGAGCCTTGCAGTGTCTGCAATGGAAGACACTGTCATGCAGATTCGGGTGTCATCTGCAAAGGAAGACACGGTGCTGTGGCTGACATCCTTGTCTATGTCGGATATGAGGATGAGGAACAAGATGGGAGCGAGTACTGTGCCTTGTGGAACAGAGCTTTTCACCGTAGCTGCCTCCGGACTTTACTCTGTTGACGACTACTCTCTGTGTTCTGTTAGTGAGGAAATTATAGATCCATCGACCGACTTTTCCTGTTATTCCTTTAGCACGCATTTTGTGCGCTATTACGCCATGGTCACACTTGTCGAAGGCTTTTGCAAGTCTGTATATATTACATCTGCATTATTTTTGTCTTCTAGTGCATTTAGGACCTTGTCGTAGTGATCTAATAGTTGAGACAGACAGGAGCGACCTGTTCTAAACCCATGTTGCCCTGGGTTGTGTAACTGATGGGTTTCTAGATGGGTGGTGATCTTGCTTCTTAGGACCCTTTCAAAGATTTTTATGATATGGGATGTTAGTGCTATTGGTCTGTAGTTCTTTGCTGTTGCTTTACTGCCCCCTTTGTGGAGTGGGGCTATGTCTGTTGTTTTTAGTAACTGTGGGACGACCCCCGTGTCCATGCTCCCTCTCCATAGGATGGAAAAGGCTCGTGATAGGTAACCCCCTATAAAATTTTCCATAGAAAGTTCGGAGGGCTTCTGTGTAAGGGTTTGCCTCAGTATATTAGCCCAACGAGGACATATCTTTCAGTGATACGATCTCTGATGCTTGGATTATAATTTTTTTCCCCATGTTTAAAATTTTGGTAGTATGAGGCCATCCTAGGATAATCCTCATTGCCTAATTCTGCGTTTTTTCCAGCCCCCAAGCTTTCACTCTGGTTCACGAGCAAGTAGTGGCTCAGCATAACAACCAGTGACCTAAAGTAAGAAAAATACATTGGTTGACTATGTCAATATATCTGAAAGGCGTAGGGAGACACTGGCCAGAGAAATAGCAAGCATCGAACTTAAGATAAAGGAATCTTATAGGAGTCAGGAATCGCGGGAAGAACTAAAAGCCATAAATGAAATCGAAAGAAACCCAAAGTATTTCTTCTAATATGCCAAATCAAAGTCGAGAACAACGTCCAGTATTGGGCCCCTACTTAAACAAGATGGGTCCTACACAGATGACAGCAAGGAAATGAGTGAGCTACTCAAGTCCCAATATGACTCAGTTTTTAGCAAGCCGCTAACCAGACTGAGAGTCGAAGATCAAAATGAATTTTTTATGAGAGAGCCACAGAATTTGGTAAACACAAGCCTATCTGATGTTATCCTGACGCCAAATGACTTCGAACAGGCGATAAATGACATGACCATGCACTCTGCCCCAGGGCCAGACTCATGGAACTCCGTGTTCATCAAGAACTGCAAGAAGCCCCTATCATGAGCTTTTACCATCCTATGGAGAGGGAGCATGGACACAGGGGTCGTCCCACAGTTACTAAAAACAACAGACATAGCCCCACTCCACAAAGGGGGCAGTAAAGCAACAGCAAAGAACTACAGACCGATAGCACTAACATCCCATATCATAAAAATCTTTGAAAGGGTCCTAAGAAGCAAGATCACCACCCATCTAGAAACCCATCAATTACACAACCCACGGCAACATGGGTTTAGAACAGGTCGCTCCTGTCTGTCTCAACTATTAGATCACTACGACAAGGTCCTAGATGCACTAGAAGACAAAAAGAATGCAGATGTAATATATACAGACTTTGCAAAAGCCTTCGACAAGTGTGACCATGGCGTAATAGTGCACAAAATGCGTGCTAAAGGAATAACGGGAAAAGTCGGTCGATGGATCTATAATTTCCTAACAGAACACAGAGAGTAGTAGTCAACAGAGTAAAGTCCGAGGCAGCTACGGTGAAAAGCTCTGTTCCACAAGGCACAGTACTTGCTCCCATCTTGTTCCTCATCCTCATATCTGACATAGACAAGGATGTCAGCCACAGCACCGTGTCTTCCTTTGCAGATGACACCCGAATCTGCATGACAGTGTCTTCCATTGCAG